AAAAGAAGGATGTGCTCCAGCAAAATAAGGAAGGAACCCAAGAAAGAGGAAAATATGGAATTCAGGAAACAGAGGTCCCCAGTCAGGCGAGGGAACAAGGGATGTCCAGGATGGTGGCCATGCCACCCAGAAGGGAAACTGGTTCAGCCTGGAAAGGATGATGATGATTTAAATAAAACTGCTTAGCAGAATACTTGATCAGCTGGAACTCTTGGAAAAAATATGAAGGAAAAGTATAAAGGAGATTTTGCAATAAGAAAAATAAAAGTATGGTAACCAGAAGCTTTAGGGAAAAAGAAACTAGACATAAAAACTATATAAGAAAGAAAATAAAATCATAGTGTACCACCTGACTTTAGAGCAAATTTTAAATAGTCATAATACTGAAAACCCTGCTAAAAAGTTAAATGATTGTTGTCATATAAATTTGTCAAGAAAATGTGCAAATATATGAAGGAGTTAAATCCTAATTAATTATAACAATACATCAATAGATGCTATCTAAACTGTGCAAAACCAAAAGAGTAATATAAGAAATTATATTTAGAAATATGGAGATAGCCACCAAAAGAAACAGTTCAAAGAGTTAAAAATGATGGCTCCTGAGAAGCAGGACAGAGGTGGGGAGAGCAGACAATGGCTGCCCTTTTCATTATAAAAATGTTTTATTCTATTTAATGTTTTAAAGCCCAGTGACGTATTCAAATTACTACAAAAGGCCCAGGTAATTCACAGACAATTACACAATCAGTAAGTGTCAATACTGGGATTTGCTATTTTCTACTTAAGCCTGACTCTTTCCAGTATACTTTGCTGCCCACTAATAATAGGCTCTGTGACTTACCCTCAGGACACACAGGGGAACACAAACTGTCCATGCCCTGAAGGACATCCCAGTCAGTACGAGAGTATGGAAACAAGATATACATATAATTAAATGTGATGCAAGAAAGGCCAAATCAGAGATATGCATAAAGCATTAGGATTTGATAAAGAAACAACCTTGAATGGGGCTTTGAAGACTTTTATGATCTTTTCCAGGATATATTGCCCAGGGTGGGTGGGCAGTTCTGCAAAACCAGGAAAATAAATTCCTGTCTCCTAGGATTATTTACCCCCAAAGGGGCTCTTTGGACATTGATTCAGGCAATTCTGCAGCTTCAGCTTCTTGGTAAGTAGAAAGACCAAAGGTCCACAGCCTGGAGCACAGTGGAATCCAAGGTATAAGCTGTGGCCAAGACTTCGTGTCCTGAGATTTCCAGTGTTGAATGTTAAGACACACTGGTAATGAACATGTCATAAAACAGGTGGAGGTAAGTTTTCTGAGCCAGGCTGCTCCCACACTGGACTGGAGAAGGACAGGTCTGCTTTCCCAGGAGCAAGTTAGCAAGAAGAGGTGAGGGAGACGTAAACTCTCTGTACATAAATTCAGAAGGGTGAGCAAAGGCTGGCAGAATGACAGATAATTTTCTGCATTTGGTGTACATATGCTGAAGCCGAAAAGCAACCATCAGAGCAAAGAAATAGAATGTGGAACAGTGGGGAAGAATGAGAGAAAATAGAACCCCGTTGATGAAAGTGTATAATCCAGCAGAACCAAAGCTAAGATGGCAAATAGATTTATCCCATTCCAAAGTTCACCATTTGATCTGCACTGCCTGGAACAGACTTAAGAAAGATTTTAAAGGTGCTCAGGGCTTGGTAGGAAAGAGCTCTGTGATGGATGAGCATTACCTGCGGCTGGCGGCAAAGGGGGATGAGATGGCACATGGCCTTAAATTCCCCATCCTGCCTTTAAAGATTCTCAGCAAATGGATTCACCCCTTTCCAGGGATCAGAATTCTAAAGTGTTGGGAAGTGTGCATTTTAAGACACAGGAAACAAAAGGCGCTTAAAGTTCCTTTCACATGGCCATGGTGCATACTTGCATTACCTTCACAAAATGAATGAACCTAACTCAAGCGATACTTTTCATTAAAAAACAAAACAAAACCAAGGAACCTCAGTGTTGTTATTTAGGTCAATTTCCATCCAGTTTTATGTATATGAATACACTCAAACATGGCATCACTTTTGGATGAGAAAATTGTAGAGTACATAGTGTTCACTTCATAGTTTGGGTTTAGTGAGGCTCAATACAGCTGAGGATTTCCTTTCATTTGTACCTCATCAAATCGGTAAACGTCTATTTGAAGCTAAAGCTGGATGTTGAAAGGGCCTGTCTATTAAAAGTGTTCATGCTCAGACTGAACTGCCTGCTAACACTGAACTTTGGGCTAATTAAACATTTCTTGAAATGCTGCCCTTAGACAAAATGGAGACCATTCTTCCAAAGTTTCCCAAGAAACAAGCTTTGGAAACACACACACACACACACACACACACACACACACACACACAC